AAATGCAGTGGTGCCGTTGGTGGGGGGGGGGACTGGTAGTGCCGGAGCAGGGTCAGACGTATCTCCTGTGCTGCTCGCATGGGGTCTCGTGCGCATGCTGCTGCAGTGGCTGCCGGATTCCTCTCACCTGCCGGTGAGCAATTATGCACAAGAGGGATCTATCAGCAAACTGGTAGTGCCGGTGCTGGGTCAGATGTGTCTCCTGTGCTGCTCGCATGGGGTCTAGTCCTCATGCTGTTGCAATGGCTGCCGGATTCCTCTCACCTGCCGGTGAGCTATCATCACCTATCATCAGGCCTCTGTGTGCCCTGTGCTGCTCACATATTCTCGTGTCTCCCATGCTGCTGCTCGCATGGGGCCTCGTGCGTATGCTGCTGCAGTGGCTGCCAGATGCATCACAGCTACCGGTATGGTAACACACGGGAGACGTAGGGGGCTTCCAGCTATAGACCTCCTCTTAGCTGCTGGTAACCCGATGATGCACAATATTCTCAGTTCAGCTCCCTGGTGGTGTCAGCACAATAGGCCTGGCCTGACACATGTTTCTTGTGCTGCTCACTCACGATGCACACACACAGCAACACCTCTGGATTGCCTTCAGAGCATTCTCTGTGACGCTCACTCACGTTGCACTCAAGCAGTGTCTGTGGCTCTGCCCATTTTTCAGAATGCTTAAAACGTATCCGGCTTGCCCTTCCCATCTCCTCCCCTCTCTTCTCCTCTTTGCCACACCATTGCAGCCACCTGTGTTGAACCCGGGTGTGTGTGTGCAAGCAGCCTATGCAGCAGGAGCGCTGGACTGGATTCTCTCCTCGCTGCTCTCCTCTTCCCTCGCCTCCCACCCTTCCAACGACCCTGTGAGTCACGTCTTCTTTTACAGGTACCTCTTTCTGTGAGGAGTAGCTTGCTTACAAGTTATAGTCACCTTCTGTACAGTCACCCTCCAATATTCAACGCCTTCAGTCAACTTAACAATCAACTCCATTTACAACCAACTCTTCAACTGTTAACTCCGTAAGAGCTCCTTACAACCTCGCCCTACCTCACTGCATCCTGAGACGTCTCATAAGTAGTCCTGCCTCCGTCCCTACCTCCCCATGCCCACACCCGTGCTTGCCCTGTGACCTGGTGTGTGCAAGGGCAGGTGATGCAGGGGGTGGTGAAGCGATGCGTCAAGGGGCTTTGCACAGCCTACCTCACTGCATTTGACATTTCCAACCAGGTTTGTACCTTCCCGGGCTTCTGTGCTTATCTGTATTTACTAATTTTGATATGTCTGTAGTTCTACCATCGGCTCTTTGTGTCAGTTTTTCTCAAACCCTTTTCTTGTTGTACCCCGGTTTCAGAAAGGCACTCGGCTATATGCCCTTCTTCTGGAGATAATCTGCCGTGCCTTTTCAGAGCAGGTCAGTGCTTGTTACCGTGTGGCACCGCACAGCACCTCATGGCACCAGATGCACCACATATGACATGTAACCACCTGTCTCAACACCATCTCACCTCTGTTCACTGCCTTGTCACCGCACCACACACCTCACCACCTCTCCGCCGCCCAACTCTCTGTGAGCTCTTCTGGGAATTTCTCTCTGCTACCTCAATATCACTCTAGTATTTCACAGACTCCCCTTCTGACGCCCCCATCTGTTCTTTGCTTTGTTCCGTCAGGAAAAAGAATCCACCCGTCTAACTTCTGTGCCCTCCTCATCACTCCTGCCCCCGTCCCCGCCCCTTCTTCACCTACCTTTCTCCCAGGAGTCGCTATGCACTGACTTCTGGGACGCATCAGCATCTCCATCCGATGCCCCTCTCCGCTCGCTCCTAGCCGCCACCAGACGGGACTTCCCCGCCCGCCCCCTGCCCTTCCTGCGCCTCCTCTCTGCCCTCTCCCACGGCTCATGGCCCGCCCGCTGCACGTGAGTTATGATCGTTGCCTTGCCTTTGCAGTCTCCTGCTCGCCATACGGAGACATCTCATCTCACCCCACCCACCCCCCTCCGTTCCTGCATTTCCTCTCTGCCCTTCGCACGCTAGTTTCTCCCATGACTCCTGACCCGCCGTCTGCACGTGAGTTGCTATCCTCTCGCTTGTCGTGTTTATCTGCCCATTTCCGGTCCCCCCCTCCTCCCCCCCTTCGCCCTCCCCCTTCCCAACCCTGCCTACGGCTACATCTCAGCTTTGAGTTCCTCGAGAGCACTATGGGAGCAGCGCTCCTCCTCCCCCTCCCGCCCGCCTGTGCCTCCCTCTCCGCCCTCTCAGCCCCCCAGCCGCTGCTGCTGCCGCGCTGTGGGGGGCTGCTGGTTCCTGCTGGGGCGCGGGGGGAGGTGGTGGAACGAGAGAACGGACTTTCACTGGTGCATTTTGAGGTGAGCAATGGAGGGGAAGGTAGGGTCTGTGCCTCCCTCTCCGCCCTCTCCGCCCCCCAGCCCCTGCTGCTGCCGCGCTGTGGGGGGCTGCTGGTTCCTGCTGGGGCGCGGGGTGAGGTGGTGGAAGGGGGAGGGAGGGATGGACTCGCACTCGTGCACTTCGAGGTGAGCAATGGGGAAAGGGAGAGGTGGCAAAGGGCAGGGGGTTGTGGGGGAAGGGGTGACAGAGCATCTTGACGGTCATGATGCTCTTGAAAAACAGTTGGTGAGAGCATCTTGACAGAGCATCTTGACAGACAGGGCATCTTGACGGTCGTTTTAGAAGACTGTTTTTCACCAACTGTTTCCCCACTGTTCTCAATAAACATTGTTCCCCCACTGTCCCCAACTGTTTCCTCACTGTCCCCACTGTTTATGGTGTCGTGTTTCGCTGCGACACCCACCCACATCCCCTTCCCCTGCAATTCCCCTGCCATCTTGTCCCCCACCCACTCATGGTGCAAGTCCTCCTTGTGGCTTCTGTGCTGTGCTATCACACAACACATTTTCCCTGCTACTTTACCCCCTCTCCTCCCTGCCCCCCCACCCTCCCCCCTGCCAGGTTCCTCTGAGTGCGCTCCTCATCCTGCTTTTCAATCTCGTGCACCGAGCACAGTGAGACCACACAACACACCCCTTCCTCTTTCCCCCCTTCCCCCCTTCCCCACTTCCCTCCCCTGCGTGTTATCCCCCCTCTCCCCACCAGGTCCCCCTCAGCGCGCTCCTCATCCTGCTCTTGCGCCTTCTGCACCGCGCATGCAGGACCACATAACACACCCCTTCCACCTTCCCCACCCCTGTTTGTTACTCCTCCCTTCCTCCCACCAGGTCCCCCTGAGCGCGCTCCTCATCCTGCTCTTGCGCCTTGTGCACCGCACACAGCAGGGCCCAACTACACAGCCCATCACCCCTTTCCCTCCCTTGTGTGTTACTCCTTCACCCCCCACCAGGTCCCTATAAGCGCCCTCCTCATCCTGCTCTTGCGCCTCGTGCACCGCACACAGCAGGGCCCAACTACACAGCCATTCCTCCTTCCCACCGTCATTCCTCCTTCCCACCGTCCTCTTTCCCCTCCCCTGCGTGTTCCACCCCCTCCCACCACCAGGTCCCCCTGAGCGCCCTGCTTATCTTGCTCTTCCGCCTTGTGCACCGAGCACAGCAAGACCAGGGCGCATCTCCTGCCGCTTCCCATGCTGCCCCACACGTCCTTTCAATCCCCCCACCAGGTCCCCCTCAGCGCCCTCCTCATCTTGCTCTTCCGCCTCGTGCACCGAGCACAGCAGGACCAGGATGCCTCTCCTGCTACTGCCACGTGGCAGTCCGCCATTGGCGGAGCTGACGTCAGTGCTGGTGCCGCAGGGATGGTGGGAGAGGAGGAAGCAGCGGAGGAGCTGTCAGTGGGGCTGTCGCTGCTCTCCAACCTGCTATCGGCTAATCAGGCATGCTTAATCTTTTGAGGCGATTCAATAGCAGGGGTTGGGGGGGGAGGAGGAAGCAGTGAGGGAGGGAGGGAGGAGCTCTCAGTGGGGCTATTGCTGCTCTCCCACCTGTTCGCCCGTTTACATTCCTTGCCTTTTTCTCGTGGGATTTCTTCTGAGAATTGAGCAGCATTTAACGTGCGTGCATGAAGAGTCTCGTGGGATCTCTTCCTGCATCTCCACTCCTCGCCCCTTTTCCCTCAGGGCTGTTTCCTTTTCTACCCCCCTCTCTCCCCTCTCCATCTTCCAACTCTCTCCCCACCATTACCGCGCTTCCCATCTTCCCATCTTCCCATCTGCGTCTGTAGCTGTCACTGTTCCTTCTTTCTCCCCATCAGTTCTGCTCTTACCATCTCTCTCCCCCCTCCTCGCACCCCCCATGTCCTGCCCATCAGGCGTGTGTGAGGGCGCTCCTGCATCTGCACTCCTCGCCCCTTGTTGCAGCTGCATTGGCCAATGGGCTGCTGCCACGTGGCATGACGTACGTGTGGTAAACAGAGCCTGGTCTCTGCTGCATGCAATGTTTATACAGCTGCTCCCTCCCACCCACTTAAGGTTTTTCTGCCCGTGTTAGCACTTTTTTGTTCCTCAAATCAAGACTGTTGTTCTTTTCTCGTCTCCTCTCCTACTCTCCTCCTGTTGCCACATTCCCTCTTCTCCTCTCCCCCTCCCTCCTCCCCCCTCCTCTCCTCCCTGTAACCCCCAGATTGGACCCCACTGCGCTCATCACAGCCATTCTGGACGGGCTGCTCTCCTCCCCTGCTCTTCTTTCCATTACTGAATCTCTGCTCCTTTTTCCTGCCCATTCCTCCCTGTAACCCCCAGATTGGACCCCACCGCGCTCATCACAGACAGCCATACTGGACGGCCTGCTCTCCTCCCCTGCTCTCTTTTTGAGGCGCCTCAAAGATATTATTTCGCCAATCTGCCAAACTCCCTTCCCCTCCCTCCTCCCCCCTCCTCTCCTCCCTGTAACCACCAGATTGGACCCCACCGCGCTCATCACAGCCATTCTGGACGGCCTGCTCTCCTCCCCTGCTCTTCTTTCGAGGCCCCTCATTTTGTACCCTCCCTCTTTACCTCCCCCCTCCTCCCTCCCTCTCCTCCCTGTAACCCCCAGATTGGACCCCACTGCGCTCATCACAGCCGTACTGGATGGCCTCCTCGCCTCCCCTGCTATCTCCGCCCCCTCCTCCCCCTTTTCCTCCTCCTCATCCTCCCCGTCCTCCTCCTCCTCCACCTCTCAATCACCATCTGCTGCTGTCGCTCTGGCCTCGGCTGCTTGCTGCCTGCGAATACTGGCTGCCTTTGCCCTCCTGTGAGTGCCCCCCCTCCTTCCCCCGAACTGTTTTGAGTCAGCAAGAGAGTCATTTCCACTTCCCACGCACCATCTGGTGCTATCGCTCTGGCCTCTGCTTCCTGCTGGCAGGAATTATTTGAGGTTTTTGCTCTCCTGTCTGTGCCCTCCGTCCGTCCTTTCTCCCTACCTTCTCACCTGCTTCTCTCTCCTATGCTCCCTTTCCTCCACCCCCACCCCTCCCTCATCCCTCTCCATCTGCTTCCCACCTGCATCTCTCTCCTATGCCATCCCCTCCCTCTCTTCTCTCTCCCGCTTTCTTTCCTCCCCTTCCTCCCTCCCACTCCCACCCCTCCCTCTCATCCCCCCCTTTCTTCTTTCTCCCCTCACCTCTCCCTCCCTGCAGCCATCCTGAGCGTGTTGCTTCTGCACTTTCTTCCTCCATCTTCTCCCCATCAGCCCTATCCTCCGACCTCCAACTGTACGTATTATCGCAGGTAGAGAGATGACTTTTGATGCGCCTCAAAAGTGACCTCCAACTGTGCGTTTTTTTTTTTTTTTTTTCCAGGCGCCTAAAAAATAGACTTCCTATCAGCCCTACCGTCCGATTTGTGCGTTGTCCTCAAAACTGTGCATAAGCCTGCCTACCTGCAGTCAAAGAAAACCACTGATTGCCATCCCTCCCTGGCCTCACCATATCTCTCTTCAAATGACATTCCACACATCGATCTTTCTCCTCTCTCTCCCTCCTTCCCTGCTCCCCGTTCACCCAATCCGCTTCTGCTCCCAGCCAATCAGGGCCTGCCACGAGTCCTCTGCACCTGCTGTGCTTCCAGATCGAGCAACCACTGGGAAGCTTCCCTTTCACTCTTGCAGGTACCTCCTTCCTCCTTGTCTGCTCTACCCTACACGCTTCCTTCCTTCACCTTAGCTAGTGGCAGCACTGGTGTACCAAGCAATATTGGTATGGCTTTTGAGAATTCTCCTTACCAAAAGCCATACCAATATTCCTTCACCTTAGCTAGTGACAGCACTGGTGTACCAAGTGACACGTGCTTTTCTTAGCTAGTGACACGTCGCACAGCTCTTCCTTTCCATGTGTGACGTGTCAGTTGGTACACCAGTGCTGGCACCTCAGATGTGAGGCGCCTCAAATGTGTCATATCTCAGGTCTGGAGTCTTCACGTGGCGCAAGCACTGGTGATGCAGGGAGGGAGTTGTAGGGAGTTGGAGGGAGTTGGAGAGGAGCATGGCTGCGCCTCTCTTTGGGAGTTATGAAACATGGCTAACGATTCAATCCCGAACCCTGCCCTCCTCCTTTCCACATGCAGCTCTGGACCTGGCAGCAGCGCTGGTGAAGCAGGGAGTGACAGGAGGACCGGTGCCAGACCTGCTGGGGTTCGCAGTGATGGATGTGCTGCCCAACTATGGGGCGTGGCGCATGGAGGACGGCAGGGAGCGATGGCTCATGGCTGGCAAGGTGAGACGCTGGGAGATGGGAGGTAGGGAGAGGCAAGGAACTCTATCAGGCGGACAGGTGGCAGATCTGTTGGGGTTTGCGGTGATGTGTGTGTGTGGAGCTATGGGGCGTGGCGCATGGAGGATGGCAGGGAGCGATGGCACATGGCTGGCAAGGTGAGATGGCTGGCAAGGTGGGAACTCTAGAACCGCTATTATGAGGAGTAGTGCCAGTCCAGGCCTGCTGGGGTTTGCGGTGACGGATGTAATGCCGAATTATGGGGCGTGGCGCATGGAGGATGGCAGGGAGCGGTGGCACATGAGCCATCGGGAAACCGGGCAACCGCCTGGACCACCACGCGCGCGCCTGGACCAACGCGCGCCCCTGGACCAACGCGCGCCCCTGGACCAACGCGCGCCCCTGGACCAACGCGTGCGCCTGGACCAACGCGCGCGCCCGCACCAACGCGCGCGCCAGGACCAACGCGCGCGCCTGGACCAACGCGCGCGCCTGGACCAACGCGCGCCCCTGGACCAACGCGCGCGCCTGGACCAACGCGCGCGCCTGGACCAACGCGCGCCCCTGGACCAACGCGCCCCCAGGACCAACGCGCGCGCCTGGACCAACGCGCGCGCCTGGACCAACGCGCGCGCCTGGACCAACGCGCGCCCCTGGACCAACGCGCGCCCCTGGACCAACGCGCGCGCCTGGACCAACGCGCGCGCCTGGACCAACGCGCGCGCCTGGACCAACGCGCGCGCCTGGACCAACGCGCGCGCCTGGACCAACGCGCGCGCCTGGACCAACGCGCGCGCCTGGACCAACGCGCGCGCCTGGACCAACGCGCGCGCCTGGACCAACGCGCGCGCCTGGACCACCACGCGCTCGCATGGACCACCACGCGCGCCCCTGGACCAACGCGCGCCCCTGGACCAACGCGCGCCCCTGGACCAGCGCGCGCGCCTGGACCAGCGCGCGCGCCTGGACCAACGCGCGCGCCTGGACCAACGCGCGCGCCTGGACCAACGCGCGCGCCTGGACCAACGCGCGCGCCTGGACCAACGCGCGCGCCTGGACCAACGCGCGCCCCTGGACCAACGCGCGCGCCTGGACCAACGCGCGCGCCTGGACCAACGCGCGCGCCTGGACCAACGCGCGCGCCTGGACCAACGCGCGCGCCTGGACCAACGCGCGCGCCTGGACCAACGCGCGCGCCTGGACCAACGCGCGCGCCTGGACCAACGCGCGCGCCTGGACCAACGCGCGCGCCTGGACCAACGCGCGCGCCTGGACCAACGCGCGCGCCTGGACCAACGCGCGCGCCTGGACCAACGCGCGCGCCTGGACCAACGCGCGCGCCTGGACCAACGCGCGCGCCTGGACCAACGCGCGCGCCTGGACCAACGCGCGCGCCTGGACCAACGCGCGCGCCTGGACCAACGCGCGCGCCTGGACCAACGCGCGCGCCTGGACCAACGCGCGCGCCTGGACCAACGCGCGCGCCTGGACCAACGCGCGCGCCTGGACCAACGCGCGCGCCTGGACCAACGCGCGCGCCTGGACCAACGCGCGCGCCTGGACCAACGCGCGCCCTGGACCAACGCGCGCGCCTGGACCAACGCGCGCGCCTGGACCAGCGCGCGCGCCTGGACCAACGCGCGCGCCTGGACCAACGCGGGCGCCAAGACCAACGCGCGCGCCGGTCCAAGACCAACGCGCGCGCCTGGACCAACGCGCGCGCCTGGACCAACGCGCGAGCGTGGACCAACGCGCGCGCCTGGACCAACGCGCGCGCCTGGTCCAACGCGCGCGCCTGGACCAACGCGCGCGCCTGGACCAACGCGCGCGCCTGGACCAACGCGCGCGCCTGGACCAACGCGAGCGCCTGGACCAACGCGCGCGCTCGGACCAACGCGCGCGCCTGGACCAAGGAGCGCGCCTGGACCAACGCGCGCGCCTGGACCAAGGAGCGCGCCTGGACCAACGCGTGCGCCTGGACCAACGCGCGCGCCTGGACCAACGCGCGCGCCTGGACCAACGCGCGCGCCTGGACCAACACGCGCGCCTGGACCAACGCGCGCGCCTGGACCACCACGCGCTCGCATGGACCACCACGCGCGCACCTGGACCAACGCGCGCCCCTGGACCAACGCGCGCCCATGGACCAGCGCGCGCGCCTGGACCAACGCGCGCGCCTGGACCAACGCGCGCGCCTGGACCAACGCGCGCGCCTGGACCAACGCGCGCGCCTGGACCAACGCGCGCCCCTGGACCAACGCGCGCGCCTGGACCAACGCGCGCGCCTGGACCAACGCGCGCGCCTGGACCAACGCGCGCGCCTGGACCAACGCGCGCTCCTGGACCAACGCGCGCGCCTGGACCAACGCGCGCGCCTGGACCAACGCGCGCGCCTGGACCAACGCGCGCGCCTGGACCAACGCGCGCCCCTGGACCAACGCGCGCGCCTGGACCAACGCGCGCGCCTGGACCAACGCGCGCGCCTGGACCAACGCGCGCGCCTGGACCAACGCGCGCGCCTGGACCAACGCGCGCCCCTGGACCAACGCGCGCCCCTGGACCAACGCGCGCGCCTGGACCAACGCGCGCCCCTGTACCAACGCGCGCGCCTGGACCAACGCGCGCGCCTGGACCACCACGCGCGCGCCAGGACCAACGCGAGCGCCTGGACCAACGCGCGCGCCTGGACCAACGCGCGCGCCTGGACCAACGCGCGCGCCTGGACCAACGCGCGCGCCTGGACCAGCGCGCGCGCCTGGACCAGCGCGCGCGCCTGGACCAACGCGCGCGCCTGGACCAACGCGGGCGCCTGGACCAACGCGCGCGCCGGTCCAAGACCAACGCGCGCGCCTGGACCAACGCGCGCGCCTGGACCAACGCGCGCGCCTGGACCAACGCGCGCGCCTGGACCAACGCGCGCGCCTGGTCCAACGCGCGCGCCTGGACCAACGCGCGCGCCTGGACCAACGCGCGCGCCTGGACCAACGCGCGCGCCTGGACCAACGCGAGCGCCTGGACCAACGCGCGCGCCTGGACCAACGCGCGCGCCTGGACCAACGCGGGCGCCTGGACCAACGCGCGCGCCGGTCCAAGACCAACGCGCGCGCCTGGACCAACGCGCGCGCCTGGACCAACGCGCGCGCCTGGACCAACGCGCGCGCCCGGACCAACGCGCGCGCCCGGACCAACGCGCGCGCCTGGACCAACGCGCGCGCCTGGACCAGCGCGCGCGCCTGGACCAACGCGCGCGCCTGGACCAACGCGCGCCCCTGGACCAACGCGCGCGCCTGGACCAACGCGCGCGCCTGGACCAGCGCGCGCGCCTGGACCAACGCGCGCCCTTGGACCAACGCGCGCCCTTGGACCAACGCGCGCCCCTGGACCAACGCGCGCTCCTGGACGAACGCGCGCCCCTGGACCAACGCGCGCCCCTGGACCAACGCGCGCGCCTGGACCAACGCGCGCGCCTGGACCAACGCGCGCGCCTGGACCAACGCGCGCGCCTGGACCAACGCGCGCCCCTGGACCAACGCGCGCCCCTGGACCAACGCGCGCCCCTGGACCAACGCGCGCCCCTGGACCAACGCGCGCCCCTGGACCAACGCGCGCCCCTGGACCAACGCGCGCGCCTGGACCAACGCGCGCGCCTGGACCAACTCGTGCGCCTGGACCAACGCGCGCGCCTGGACCAACGCGCGCGCCTGGACCAACGCGCGCGCCTGGACCAACGCGCGCGCGTGGACCAACGCGCGCGCCTGGACCAACGCGCGCGCCTGGACCACCACGCGCGCCTGGACCACCACGCGCGCCCGCCTGGACCAACGCGCGCCCCTGGACCAACGCGCGCCCCTGGACCAACGCGCGCCCCTGGACCAACGCGCGCGCCTGGACCAACGCGCGCGCCGGGACCAATCGCGCGCGCCTGGACCAACGCGCGCGCCTGGACCAACGCGCGCCCCTGGACCAACGCGCGCGCCTGGACCAACGCGCGCGCCTGGACCAACGCGCGCGCCTGGACCAACGCGCGCGCCTGGACCAACGCGCGCGCCTGGACCAACGCGCGCGCCTGGACCAACGCGCGCGCCTGGACCAACGCGCGCGCCTGGACCAACGCGCGCGCCTGGACCAACGCGCGCGCCTGGACCAACGCGCGCCCCTGGACCAACGCGCGCGCCTGGACCAACGCGCGCGCCTGGACCAACGCGCGCGCCTGGACCAACGCGCGCGCCTGGACCAACGCGCGCGCCTGGACCAACGCGCGCGCCTGGACCAACGCGCGCGCCTGGACCAACGCGCGCCCCTGGACCAACGCGCGCGCCTGGACCAACGCGCGCGCCTGGACCAAGTCGCGCGCCTGGACCAAGTCGCGCACCTGGACCAACGCGCGCCCCCGGACCAACGCGCGCGCCCGGACCAACGCGCGCGCCCGGACCAACGCGCGCGCCCGGACCAACGCGCGCGCCCGGACCAACGCGCGCGTGAACAACGCGCGCGCTCGGACCAACACGCGCGCCCGGACCAAAGCGCGCGCCCGGACCAGCGCGCGCCTGGACCAACGCGCGCGCCTGGACCAACGCGCGCGCCTGGACCAACGCGAGCGCCTGGACCAACGCGCGCGCCTGGACCAACGCGCGCGCCTGGACCAACGCGGGCGCCTGGACCAACGCGCGCGCCGGTCCAAGACCAACGCGCGCGCCTGGACCAACGCGCGCGCCTGGACCAACGCGCGCGCCTGGACCAACGCGCGCGCCCGGACCAACGCGCGCGCCCGGACCAACGCGCGCGCCTGGACCAACGCGCGCGCCTGGACCAGCGCGCGCGCCTGGACCAACGCGCGCGCCTGGACCAACGCGCGCCCCTGGACCAACGCGCGCGCCTGGACCAACGCGCGCGCCTGGACCAGCGCGCGCGCCTGGACCAACGCGCGCCCTTGGACCAACGCGCGCCCTTGGACCAACGCGCGCCCCTGGACCAACGCGCGCTCCTGGACGAACGCGCGCCCCTGGACCAACGCGCGCCCCTGGACCAACGCGCGCGCCTGGACCAACGCGCGCGCCTGGACCAACGCGCGCGCCTGGACCAACGCGCGCGCCTGGACCAACGCGCGCCCCTGGACCAACGCGCGCCCCTGGACCAACGCGCGCCCCTGGACCAACGCGCGCCCCTGGACCAACGCGCGCCCCTGGACCAACGCGCGCCCCTGGACCAACGCGCGCGCCTGGACCAACGCGCGCGCCTGGACCAACTCGTGCGCCTGGACCAACGCGCGCGCCTGGACCAACGCGCGCGCCTGGACCAACGCGCGCGCGTGGACCAACGCGCGCGCGTGGACCAACGCGCGCGCCTGGACCAACGCGCGCGCCTGGACCACCACGCGCGCCTGGACCACCACGCGCGCCCGCCTGGACCAACGCGCGCCCCTGGACCAACGCGCGCCCCTGGACCAACGCGCGCCCCTGGACCAACGCGCGCGCCTGGACCAACGCGCGCGCCGGGACCAATCGCGCGCGCCTGGACCAACGCGCGCGCCTGGACCAACGCGCGCCCCTGGACCAACGCGCGCGCCTGGACCAACGCGCGCGCCTGGACCAACGCGCGCGCCTGGACCAACGCGCGCGCCTGGACCAACGCGCGCGCCTGGACCAACGCGCGCGCCTGGACCAACGCGCGCGCCTGGACCAACGCGCGCGCCTGGACCAACGCGCGCGCCTGGACCAACGCGCGCGCCTGGACCAACGCGCGCCCCTGGACCAACGCGCGCGCCTGGACCAACGCGCGCGCCTGGACCAACGCGCGCGCCTGGACCAACGCGCGCGCCTGGACCAACGCGCGCGCCTGGACCAACGCGCGCGCCTGGACCAACGCGCGCGCCTGGACCAACGCGCGCCCCTGGACCAACGCGCGCGCCTGGACCAACGCGCGCGCCTGGACCAAGTCGCGCGCCTGGACCAAGTCGCGCACCTGGACCAACGCGCGCCCCCGGACCAACGCGCGCGCCCGGACCAACGCGCGCGCCCGGACCAACGCGCGCGCCCGGACCAACGCGCGCGCCCGGACCAACGCGCGCGTGAACAACGCGCGCGCTCGGACCAACACGCGCGCCCGGACCAAAGCGCGCGCCCGGACCAGCGCGCGCGCCCGGACCAACGCGCGCGCCCGGACCAACGCGCGCGCCTGGACCAACGCGCACGCCTGGACCAACGCGCGCGCCTGGACCAACGCGCGCGCCTGGACCAACGCGCGCGCCTGGACCAACGCGCGCGCCTGGACCAGCGCGCGCGCCTGGACCAACGCGCGCCCTTGGACCAACGCGCGCCCTTGGACCAACGCGCGCCCCTGGACCAACGCGCGCTCCTGGACGAACGCGCGCCCCTGGACCAACGCGCGCCCCTGGACCAACGCGCGCGCCTGGACCAACGCGCGCGCCTGGACCAACGCGCGCGCCTGGACCAACGCGCCTGGACCAACGGCCTGGACCAACGCGCGCCCCTGGACCAACGCGCGCGCCTGGACCAACGCGCGCCCCTGGACCAACGCGCGCCCCTGGACCAACGCGCGCGCCTGGACCAACGCGCGCGCCTGGACCAACGCGCGCGCCTGGACCAACGCGCGCGCCTGGACCAAGTCGCGCGCCTGGACCAACGCGCGCGCCTGGACCAACGCGCGCGCCTGGACCAACGCGAGCGCCTGGACCAACGCGCGCGCTCGGACCAACGCGCGCGCCTGGACCAAGGAGCGCGCCTGGACCAACGCGCGCGCCTGGACCAAGGAGCGCGCCTGGACCAACGCGTGCGCCTGGACCAACGCGCGCGCCTGGACCAACGCGCGCGCCTGGACCAACGCGCGCGCCTGGACCAACACGCGCGCCTGGACCAACGCGCGCGCCTGGACCACCACGCGCTCGCATGGACCACCACGCGCGCACCTGGACCAACGCGCGCCCCTGGACCAACGCGCGCCCATGGACCAGCGCGCGCGCCTGGACCAACGCGCGCGCCTGGACCAACGCGCGCGCCTGGACCAACGCGCGCGCCTGGACCAACGCGCGCGCCTGGACCAACGCGCGCCCCTGGACCAACGCGCGCGCCTGGACCAACGCGCGCGCCTGGACCAACGCGCGCGCCTGGACCAACGCGCGCGCCTGGACCAACGCGCGCTCCTGGACCAACGCGCGCGCCTGGACCAACGCGCGCGCCTGGACCAACGCGCGCGCCTGGACCAACGCGCGCGCCTGGACCAACGCGCGCCCCTGGACCAACGCGCGCGCCTGGACCAACGCGCGCGCCTGGACCAACGCGCGCGCCTGGACCAACGCGCGCGCCTGGACCAACGCGCGCGCCTGGACCAACGCGCGCCCCTGGACCAACGCGCGCCCCTGGACCAACGCGCGCGCCTGGACCAACGCGCGCCCCTGTACCAACGCGCGCGCCTGGACCAACGCGCGCGCCTGGACCACCACGCGCGCGCCAGGACCAACGCGAGCGCCTGGACCAACGCGCGCGCCTGGACCAACGCGCGCGCCTGGACCAACGCGCGCGCCTGGACCAACGCGCGCGCCTGGACCAGCGCGCGCGCCTGGACCAGCGCGCGCGCCTGGACCAACGCGCGCGCCTGGACCAACGCGGGCGCCTGGACCAACGCGCGCGCCGGTCCAAGACCAACGCGCGCGCCTGGACCAACGCGCGCGCCTGGACCAACGCGCGCGCCTGGACCAACGCGCGCGCCTGGACCAACGCGCGCGCCTGGTCCAACGCGCGCGCCTGGACCAACGCGCGCGCCTGGACCAACGCGCGCGCCTGGACCAACGCGCGCGCCTGGACCAACGCGAGCGCCTGGACCAACGCGCGCGCCTGGACCAACGCGCGCGCCTGGACCAACGCGGGCGCCTGGACCAACGCGCGCGCCGGTCCAAGACCAACGCGCGCGCCTGGACCAACGCGCGCGCCTGGACCAACGCGCGCGCCTGGACCAACGCGCGCGCCCGGACCAACGCGCGCGCCCGGACCAACGCGCGCGCCTGGACCAACGCGCGCGCCTGGACCAGCGCGCGCGCCTGGACCAACGCGCGCGCCTGGACCAACGCGCGCCCCTGGACCAACGCGCGCGCCTGGACCAACGCGCGCGCCTGGACCAGCGCGCGCGCCTGGACCAACGCGCGCCCTTGGACCAACGCGCGCCCTTGGACCAACGCGCGCCCCTGGACCAACGCGCGCTCCTGGACGAACGCGCGCCCCTGGACCAACGCGCGCCCCTGGACCAACGCGCGCGCCTGGACCAACGCGCGCGCCTGGACCAACGCGCGCGCCTGGACCAACGCGCGCGCCTGGACCAACGCGCGCCCCTGGACCAACGCGCGCCCCTGGACCAACGCGCGCCCCTGGACCAACGCGCGCCCCTGGACCAACGCGCGCCCCTGGACCAACGCGCGCCCCTGGACCAACGCGCGCGCCTGGACCAACGCGCGCGCCTGGACCAACTCGTGCGCCTGGACCAACGCGCGCGCCTGGACCAACGCGCGCGCCTGGACCAACGCGCGCGCCTGGACCAACGCGCGCGCGTGGACCAACGCGCGCGCCTGGACCAACGCGCGCGCCTGGACCACCACGCGCGCCTGGACCACCACGCGCGCCCGCCTGGACCAACGCGCGCCCCTGGACCAACGCGCGCCCCTGGACCAACGCGCGCCCCTGGACCAACGCGCGCGCCTGGACCAACGCGCGCGCCGGGACCAATCGCGCGCGCCTGGACCAACGCGCGCGCCTGGACCAACGCGCGCCCCTGGACCAACGCGCGCGCCTGGACCAACGCGCGCGCCTGGACCAACGCGCGCGCCTGGACCAACGCGCGCGCCTGGACCAACGCGCGCGCCTGGACCAACGCGCGCGCCTGGACCAACGCGCGCGCCTGGACCAACGCGCGCGCCTGGACCAACGCGCGCGCCTGGACCAACGCGCGCGCCTGGACCAACGCGCGCCCCTGGACCAACGCGCGCGCCTGGACCAACGCGCGCGCCTGGACCAACGCGCGCGCCTGGACCAACGCTGCGCGCCTGGACCAACGCGCGCGCCTGGACCAACGCGCGCGCCTGGACCAACGCGCGCGCCTGGACCAACGCGCGCGCCTGGACCAACGCGCGCCCCTGGACCAACGCGCGCGCCTGGACCAACGCGCGCGCCTGGACCAAGTCGCGCGCCTGGACCAAGTCGCGCACCTGGACCAACGCGCGCCCCCGGACCAACGCGCGCGCCCGGACCAACGCGCGCGCCCGGACCAACGCGCGCGCCCGGACCAACGCGCGCGCCCGGACCAACGCGCGCGTGAACAACGCGCGCGCTCGGACCAACACGCGCGCCCGGACCAAAGCGCGCGCCCGGACCAGCGCGCGCCTGGACCAACGCGCGCGCCTGGACCAACGCGCGCGCCTGGACCAACGCGAGCGCCTGGACCAACGCGCGCGCCTGGACCAACGCGCGCGCCTGGACCAACGCGGGCGCCTGGACCAACGCGCGCGCCGGTCCAAGACCAACGCGCGCGCCTGGACCAACGCGCGCGCCTGGACCAACGCGCGCGCCTGGACCAACGCGCGCGCCCGGACCAACGCGCGCGCCCGGACCAACGCGCGCGCCTGGACCAACGCGCGCGCCTGGACCAGCGCGCGCGCCTGGACCAACGCGCGCGCCTGGACCAACGCGCGCCCCTGGACCAACGCGCGCGCCTGGACCAACGCGCGCGCCTGGACCAGCGCGCGCGCCTGGACCAACGCGCGCCCTTGGACCAACGCGCGCCCTTGGACCAACGCGCGCCCCTGGACCAACGCGCGCTCCTGGACGAACGCGCGCCCCTGGACCAACGCGCGCCCCTGGACCAACGCGCGCGCCTGGACCAACGCGCGCGCCTGGACCAACGCGCGCGCCTGGACCAACGCGCGCGCCTGGACCAACGCGCGCCCCTGGACCAACGCGCGCCCCTGGACCAACGCGCGCCCCTGGACCAACGCGCGCCCCTGGACCAACGCGCGCCCCTGGACCAACGCGCGCCCCTGGACCAACGCGCGCGCCTGGACCAACGCGCGCGCCTGGACCAACTCGTGCGCCTGGACCAACGCGCGCGCCTGGACCAACGCGCGCGCCTGGACCAACGCGCGCGCCTGGACCAACGCGCGCGCGTGGACCAACGCGCGCGCCTGGACCAACGCGCGCGCCTGGACCACCACGCGCGCCTGGACCACCACGCGCGCCCGCCTGGACCAACGCGCGCCCCTGGACCAACGCGCGCCCCTGGACCAACGCGCGCCCCTGGACCAACGCGCGCGCCTGGACCAACGCGCGCGCCGGGACCAATCGCGCGCGCCTGGACCAACGCGCGCGCCTGGACCAACGCGCGCCCCTGGACCAACGCGCGCGCCTGGACCAACGCGCGCGCCTGGACCAACGCGCGCGCCTGGACCAACGCGCGCGCCTGGACCAACGCGCGCGCCTGGACCAACGCGCGCGCCTGGACCAACGCGCGCGCCTGGACCAACGCGCGCGCCTGGACCAACGCGCGCGCCTGGACCAACGCGCGCCCCTGGACCAACGCGCGCGCCTGGACCAACGCGCGCGCCTGGACCAACGCGCGCGCCTGGACCAACGCGCGCGCCTGGACCAACGCGCGCGCCTGGACCAACGCGCGCGCCTGGACCAACGCGCGCGCCTGGACCAACGCGCGCCCCTGGACCAACGCGCGCGCCTGGACCAACGCGCGCGCCTGGACCAAGTCGCGCGCCTGGACCAAGTCGCGCACCTGGACCAACGCGCGCCCCCGGACCAACGCGCGCGCCCGGACCAACGCGCGCGCCCGGACCAACGCGCGCGCCCGGACCAACGCGCGCGCCCGGACCAACGCGCGCGTGAACAACGCGCGCGCTCGGACCAACACGCGCGCCCGGACCAAAGCGCGCGCCCGGACCAGCGCGCGCGCCCGGACCAACGCGCGCGCCCGGACCAACGCGCGCGCCTGGACCAACGCGCACGCCTGGACCAACGCGCGCGCCTGGACCAACGCGCGCGCCTGGACCAACGCGCGCGCCTGGACCAACGCGCGCGCCTGGACCAGCGCGCGCGCCTGGACCAACGCGCGCCCTTGGACCAACGCGCGCCCTTGGACCAACGCGCGCCCCTGGACCAACGCGCGCTCCTGGACGAACGCGCGCCCCTGGACCAACGCGCGCCCCTGGACCAACGCGCGCGCCTGGACCAACGCGCGCGCCTGGACCAACGCGCGCGCCTGGACCAACGCGCGCGCCTGGACCAACGCGCGCCCCTGGACCAACGCGCGCGCCTGGACCAACGCGCGCCCCTGGACCAACGCGCGCCCCTGGACCAACGCGCGCGCCTGGACCAACGCGCGCGCCTGGACCAACGCGCGCGCCTGGACCAACGCGCGCGCCTGGACCAAGTCGCGCGCCTGGACCAACGCGCGCGCCTGGACCAACGCGCGCGCCTGGACCAACGCGCGCGCCTGGACCAACGCGCGCGCCTGGACCAACGCGCGCGCCTGGACCAACGCGCGCGCCTGGACCAACGCGCGCCCCTGGACCAACGCGCGCGCCTGGACCAACGCGCGCGCCTGGACCAACGCGCACCCCTGGACCAACGCGCGCCCCTGGACCAACGCACGCCCCTGGACCAACGCGCGCGCCTGGACCAACGCGCGCCCCTGGACCAACGCGCGCCCCTGGACCAACGCGCGCGCCTGGACCAACGCGCGCGCCTGGACCAACGCGCGCGCCTGGACCAACGCGCGCGCCTGGACCAACGCGCGCTCCTGGACCAACGCGCGCGCCTGGACCAACGCGCGCGCCTGGACCAACGCGCGCCTGGACCAACCAGGAGAGCGCAGGGAGGAAGCTTCCCTCCCCCGTGCCCACCGGTGGCAGGGGAAATGCAGCAGCCACATCCACTCTGCCACCTCCAACCACGAGAGCTGGAGGGAAGGTTGGAGGGCGGGGAGACACATGGGGTTGGGAGGAGGAAAGAGGCAGGAGAGCATACGATGAGAGTGGTGTAACTTTGCAAAGCTGGTCCAAGCGCTCCTAGATGCGTATTATGCTTTAGATAAGGCCCGTTTTCTAGAACTGCTAAATATTTGCCTAACCAAGTGTGCTTGGGCTACTAGTTTAGGATCATACCTCGCATTTGCTGAGCCGACTGCTCGTTTCAAGAGGTGCACTCTTTTGAATCGTGCAGTCAGCTCAGCCCATGCGAGTGTGGAATAGTCGAGCAGAAAGTCCCCGTCTCACCTCGAGGGGACTGGTTGCACGCTGCAAGCGGCGGAAAAGGGATGGATTACGGCGAGAAAGGAGGGGCGAGAACTGGTGGGGAGGCCTGTGGCTTTCGAGGTTTGAGTTCTGACAAGAGAGGAGAGCGGAGATGTGGCAGGGCGCAGGGGAGGCAAGGTGAGAGGTGACAAGAGGATGCAATGAAAAGGTGAAGTGAAAGAAGAGGGGCAACAACTTTATTCCTTTATCACCTCCCACCTCCCCGTCTCCCAACCCCCCTCCTTCTCCCCGACACCTCCTCGTACTCCCCCCGCTCCCCCAGCTTTCTCGCCTCCTCTCCCTCACTCTCTCTCTCTCTCGCCCCCTGGGCCGCCTCGACTCTCCTTTACATTTTCAACCGTACCCATTTCTACTTGCCCCTCCCCTGACAACCCCCCATCCCACCTCCCTCCCAGCTGTCTCGCCTCCTCTTCCTCACTCTCTCTCTCGCCCCCTGGGCCGCGTCCTCCCTCCTCCGCTCCACACACTCCCTTCTTGAGGGACGAAGTGGCCAGGGAGGAGGGGACGACTGGGAAGAGGAGGAGGAGCGGGAGGAAAGGGATGATATGGAGGAGAGAGGGGAGCAGATGCTGCGGGAGGAGTGGCAGGAGGCAGGAGCGTATAAGAGGAGCAGAGTCGGCTCCGGAATGTGGAGCAACAGCAGTGGCAGTGGTGGTGGCGGCAGTAGCAGCAGTGGGATGAGCAGTGAAACAGGAAACCCCTACTCCTCCTCCTCCTCCTCACCTTTCACACCAGCCCCACATGCCCCACCCTCGTCTCCCTCCTCAGCCTCTGCTCTTGCGTCCAAGCTGCTCCACCTGTTGCTCACCGATGCACGCATATCTGCCGCTCTGCTGGCGCCACTGCAGTCCGCCCTGCTCGTGCTGCCAGCGAGGGGCTCTCAGGGGGGTGGCACTCAGGGGGGTGACTCTCAGGGGAGCGACGCCTGTCCGGGTGGGGACTCAGTGGCAGGTTCAGAGCAGTCGGCGCTGCATAATGGGCTTGATCTGCTCACCCTCTGCATTCGCCTCAAGCCCTTCTGTTCCGCTGCTGCTGATGCTGTGAGTGGAGCCAGCCCCAATCACCCTCTGTCCTGCAATTTTCCTCTGCAGTAGTTGAGAAATCCCAAACGCCTCTTCCATTACAGCGTCTCGCCCCAGTCCCATCCCCTTTACTCCCCCTCCTCCTACTCTTCCTCTTGTCCACTGTGCGACCAATTTCACCCGCACTGTCTTCATACCTATCCTCACTCTGTTGCGTCTCTCTCCTTCCCTCCCCTCTCTCGCACGCCTTGCAGCCCCTTTCCCCCTTAAGCTCACTCCAACTTTCTTCTTCCGCACTTCTCCCCTCTCATATATACCAGCCCTGTCCCCTTTTGCTCCTCTCCCCCCCTCTCTGTGTGTTTCCCCTCACCTCACTGTCTCTCTCCCCCCCTGCAGCCCCTCTCCCCTTTGGAGTCGCTTCTCCTCTCCTCCTCCGCTCGCCTCCCCTCGCATCTCATGCCGCTCACCCCGTCAGCACCAGCGCTAGACTCTGCAGGAGCTGCAGCAGACGCTGCCTTAGCAAGAGCAGCAGCAGGAGGAGGAGGAGGAGGAGAGGGAGCAGGAGCAATGGTGGGGCTTGATTCAGTTCCGCTGGTGACGGCGCTTGCTGCACTCACAAGCCTCGGCCAGTCACAGGTGCGCTAAATTGAGTCTGCACAGTGATTTGAGACGTCTCAAAACAGAGGGAGCAGGAGCAACGGTGGGGCTTGATTCAGTTCCGCTGGTGACGGCGCTTGCTGCACTGACAAGCCTCGGCCAGTCACAGGTGTGCGGATAGAGAGGGTGTTTTTGAGACGTCTCAAAGTCACAGGTGTGCGGATTTTGGCGGTTTGCAGGAATTTGCAGTTTCTTTGCATCTTCATCTGCTAGCGAGTGCTGGTAGTGCTTGTGTCACGAGCAAAAACGCTCAGTGGCACAGGTGTGCAGTTCCTTTCACCCATCTTCCCCCTCCACTCCCTCCCTTGCAGGCTCTACGCCGTGCCTCGCTCACCTTCCTGCACACCCTCTGCACCATCACTGCTCGCATCAGACCACACCTCCTCGTGCTCTCCTCTTTCTTTTCCCGGCCTGCCGCCCAGCCCATTGTAAGCTCATCCTAGGGCATTGGATTTGGCTGGATGGTAACGTAACCTGGTAACATGGTGTCTTGCACCTGGTGTGCACTCTGTACGCGTTTAGATACTTGTCTCTGCTCTTAGCACATCTAACTCTGTTTTTATTTACCTTGCGTGAGCTGCGGCTTGTTCCCTTTCCTCGACTTGTCTCTTCTGCATCTCCTCTCCACTCCTCTCCCTTTCTGCTGGCCTTATTCCGCCCTTATTCCGCCTTAATCTTTCCTTTCGATGCTCCCACTTCCCGTGCTTTTATCTCTCACCTACCCCACCCAGCCGCACCCCTTCCCACCCCCCTCCACACGCCTCCTTGCAACCCCCCTTTGATGACCCTTCTTCCTCTCCCCCTCTCCCTGCCCTCCTCCCCCTTCCCCCCGCCCCTACTCGCAACCTTCCCCCCGCCCACCTTCCGCCTCCACGCAGCTCCACAGCCTTCAGATCGCTGTGGATCGCATCCTGGCCGTTGAATCAGCCCGCATCAGTAAATCAGCACCGTCGAAATCAGCGCCTTCATCCTCCTCTGCACCCGCTCCTTCATCTGGCCTCTTCGTCCCCCTGCTTCAACTGCTCACTCACGCTGCACACTCACAAGTAAGCCCCTCTCTAGGTTTTGAGAGGCCTCAAAAGTCGACTCTTGAGGTTCCTCAATACTCACTCACGCTGCACACTCACAAGTAAGCACCTCTCCTACTCTTTCACTCCTTTCTGACCCTAACCCACCCACTTTACCCATGTAGCACCTACGTTCACCAACTCTCACCTTTCTCATCCTATCTCCCTCATCCCCACACCCCTCCTCTCTCCATTCTAAGTTTCTCTCGCCTGCTCCCTCTGGCCGAACCTCTCTCCCTTTCTTCACCCAGCTAGCACCTGTTTCTTGCATTGTCACCGTTCTCAACCTTTCTTAGCCCATCTCGTTCGCCCCCACACACCCTCCCTCTGCTGCCTGAGTTTCTCCACCAGCTCCTTCTGGCCGACCCTCACTTTCAGTTCATCCAACAGCACTGGTTTTCCCCACTGCACCGTTCTCAACCTTTCCCAACGATTCTCCATCGTCCCCACGCCCCTCCCCTTCTGCCGCCTGAGTTTCTCCACCAGCTCCTGCTGGCCGACCCTCCCTCCCTCACTTCACCCAACCAGCACTAGTTTCCCCCATTGCACCGTTCTCAACCTTTCTCAGCCCAATTTTGTTATTCCTCACACCCCCCGTCCTACAGCCTGAGTTCCTCCACCAGCTGCTCCTGGCCGAGCATCCCTCCCGCACTTCCCCCACTACTACCGCTCTCAGCCTTTCTTGACCTATCCTACTCTTTCCCACACACCTCCCTTGTGCAGCCTGAGTTCCTCCACCAGCTCCTTCTGGCCGAGCATCCCAGCCTCCACTCTGCAAGCAGCAGTGCCACCACCACCACCAACACCACCAGCAGCAGCACCAGCACAGACAAACCAGCAGCAGCAGCGGCTGCAGGTGGAGCAGCAGCAGGAACAGGAGCAGGAGCAGGAGCAGGAGCAGCAGGAGCAGAAAGAGCAGGCAGCACACGAAGGGGGGAATTTGCAAAGAGGGGCACAGCCAACGTAGACAGAATCCTTGCTCTGCTGTTAGCAGGCCCTTCCCTCATGGCCGCGTGAGTCTTGACTCTTACCCTCCCATTTGAGGCGCCTCAACTTTTGATGCACCTCGAAACTTCCCTATTGAGGCGTCTCAAAAATAGGCAGAGTCATCGCTCTGCTGTCGGCAGGCCCTACTCTCATGGCCGCGTGAGTCTTCACTCTTACCCTCCCCTACCATCTCACTTCTTTTCTCCCACATGCCTATGAATTCCTCCCTACCCTTCTTACACCCCCCACCCCCCACCCCCAGACCCCACCCCACCCCCCACACCCACACCCCCTTGCATTCCTGTTCTGTCTCTCTCGTCGACTCCTCTCCCCATCCGAATTCCTCACCAATATCGCTTTTCCTCCTTTGAGTCGCCTCGAAATTTAACTTTCCCTTTTTAAACCTACCTTTTCTAGCAGATAAAAGTCGCGACTCGTCTCCTCCTGCATTCCTGGAAACGCGTGAGAGCTGACTCAAAAATAAACTTCCCTTCCTAAAAAATAAGCCTACTCCCAACTCCTTGTTTTCTCCTCTCACTCCCCCCTTTTCCAGACACCCCATGCAGCTCTGTCTGCTCCTGCGCCTCCTCTGCTCTATCTGGCGCTCCTCCTCCCCTCCTCTCCTCCCTCTCCTCCTCCACCTCCGCTCCAACCCCACCCTCTGGTCCTCCCTCTCCTCCATCCTCCACTCATCCCCATCCTCTCCCTCCCCATCCCCCTCCGCACTCCCCTCCCCTCCCTCGCTCTCCTCACTCTCCCCTTCCCTCGGCACCCCCTCGGCGTCCGCTGACGTGGAATACGCCCCCGCTGAGCTGGCGCGAGCTGGCTGGCGCTGGCGCTGCCACGCCGCCGCCCTGCGCCTCATCTCCCTCGACCTGTTCCTGGAAAAGAAGCTTCCTGGAAGATACTCAGCCTCAGGAGCAACAACAGGAGCAGCAACAGGGGCGCGGATGCTGCTGTTAGAAGCGAGAGGAGGAGGGAGGAAGGGAGGAGAGGGGGTGGGGTTGGTTGGGGAACTGGTGGGGGTGGTGGAGGGAGCAGGGAGGCTGTGGGGCGACATGTGGCAGGCTTGGAGTGGTGGACAGGTGAGCAGCCTTGTAGCAGTGTGTTATTGAGAATCTGCATGGTGCTTTTGAGATCTCTCACCAACCCAGCCCTACTCCTTCCTCCCCTGCATCTCCCCCCCTTGTTCCAGCTGTCATGCAAGCTGCTGGCAGTTGTGCTGATGTGGCGGGCGGCTGTTGGTGACGTGGAGGGGATGAGCCTGCGACTGCTGGAGCAGATCCAATCTGTCTCCTTCCAAGTAATTTCCTTCTTTCCATACTCATCATGCCATGCTCACTACTTCTCTGAACTCCTCTCTTTTTCCTAGATTGTGTACATTGTTTGCTTTCACTCCTGTTCCACTTGCCTCACCTCCACTCCCGACCCTCCCTTTTTCTGTTCCTTCCCCACTGATGTGTGCAGTTCTTCTCACACCCGCTACTGCAGCAGCTACACCATCAGCTCACCTCTCATCCAAATCAACTCTCTTCAAATCACTTCTCCCCTCACCACCACCATCCCCACCCCTCTGACTGGAAACCCGTTCTCCTCTCCGCCCTCTGCTCCTCACTCTCCTCTCAGCTCCCCTCCTCCCTCTCCTCTCTCTCCTCCCTCTCCTCCCTCCTCTCCTCCACTTCCCTCCTCGCCTCCTCCACCTCCTCCCTCACACCCTCCTCTCTCTCTTCCTCCTCTCTCTCCATCGCCGAACGTTGCCTGGACTCGGTGGAAGCTGCGGGGAAGCTTCTGCGGGCTCTGGCAGGGGCAGGAGGAGCAGAGGGAGGAGTGAGTCGCTTGCTGGGAGGAGGGTTGGAGTCAGGAGGAGGGGCAGCAGCAGGAGGAGCAGCGGCAGGAGGAACAGCAGGAGGGGAAGCAGGGCAAGGGCAGGGAGTAGCAGAAGTGAGGGTAGAGCGGTTAGAGAGCATTGCCTGCAGCATGACTACTGCATTCTTCCCACGCAGCCTCACTGCCTCTGCTGGTCTCCGCTCCTGGGGCAGCCACAGCAGCAGCAGCAGCGGCAGTGGCGGTGCTGGTGCTGGTGCTGGTGGCGGTGGCAGTGGCAGTGGTGGTGGTTCTGCTAGTGGAAAGTCGCCGCCTCTTGCCGTGGTGGCAGCAGCAGCAGAGGCGTGTTTGATAATAGATGGGTTCCTGTGGCAGGCAGGGGGGTTGCTGGGAGCAGCAAAGGCTGCAGGAGACGTGCTGGCTGTCAGCAGCGGGGGAGGACTGAGTGGTGCAGATGGGTTTCAGGGGAGTATGGTGGGTTCGGAGGATCCCTGGGCTTTGCAGTGCGGTGCAGATGGGTCGACTGCGGTTGAGCCCTCTTTTCTTGAAAGCACCATCGGTGATCTCTCATCCTCGCTCCTCGCTGCTTGCTCCTCTGTCCTCCCACTCCCCCCCTCTTCGCCCTCCTCCCCTCCTCTCCCCTCCCCAGCTGCTTATCTCTTCTCCTCCTCTCGCCTCCTCCACCTTTTAATCACCCGCTGGACCCACCACCAGAAGCAGGAAATTCTGGGGAAGCTTCCTGGTCAAGAAAGTCAACAGGGCTTCTTAGAATCCGTTGCCTCTTTTGCCTCGACCCTTGTGAGAAGGCTCATGGAAGCTTCCCGGAAGCTGATGGACTCTGAGCTGGCAGAACTCGTGGGACCCTGGCCCACCGTGTCGACACTTGGCAGCCTCTTATCGGTCCTGCAGCTGATCCACGTCATGCTGACGTCAGAACAGAAGAGGAGCGAGCTACCAGGTTCCTCCGCCACAACTGCCACCGTCTCCCTGCTACAAGACAAAACAGCTGACGTCACAGTGGTACTTTCCGAGAACCTTCCTGTGCTCCTCGAAGCAGCTTCCGCGAACATCCAAGAAGACGCGCAGGGATCCATCAGCGTGGCAGACGCTTCCAGGAACCTTCCGATGCAGGCTCTAGCAGTGGTGGAAATGGCGCTAAGGTGCTTCCTCTCCCCCCTCACATGGCGTCCTCTGGTATCTGCCCATCTCTCCCTCCCCTCCCTCCTCTCCTCCACTCTCCGGTACCACCCACCACCCTCACATGCAGCCGCCACAGCAGAAACTGGGAACACCGCATGGGACGAAACAGCCCCGTATTCCTCTCTCTCCTCTCATGCCTCTCGCTCCTCTTGCTTCTCTCGCTCTGCATCTGCGCGGGCTGTGCTCAGTTTCTGTCTTACCCTCTCATCCACGCGTGAGGGTGCAGATCTCCTCCTGGCCGTTGGATTCCTGCGCCACGTCAGCACCATTACTGACGGCCTGCCACCTCATGCGCACCTCAGCGTCGGCCCTTTCCAGGAAGCTTCCGCCGCCTTTGGGGGGCTGTATGATGATAGAGGGGGTTCAGATTTCACTGCAGCAGCAGCGGCGGCAGCAGCAGCAGGGGCAGCAGCAGCGGCAGCAGCAGCAGGGGCAGCAGCAGCGGCAGCAGCAGGGGGTGTAGCAGGGAGAGGAACGGGAGGAGCAGGGGTATGGGGTCGGGTGGGCGCGAGTGGGTATGCCACGGGACGAAATAACGATCAGGATGACAGAGATAGTATCAAATATGATATTAGATATGATTTGGACCATGAAGAGGAGAGTGCTTCAGTGCGAGAGGCTTGGGAACTCTGGTCGCTGGCTCTCACTGTCACCACCTGCATGTTCCGCGCCCTCCTCCCTCCCCCTTCTCTCTCCGACTCCCTCTCTCTCGCCTCCTCCTCCGGTCTTCCTTTCTCACTCTCCCCCTCCCCCCGCCTCCTCCTCTCTCTCTTCCACTGCTGCAAGACTAGCCCTTGACTTTCTCTCTTTCCAGCTCCCTTCCCTCTTAGCCGCCCTCTCCTCTCCCCTCCACCCCTCGCGCTCTCTCCTCTCCCTCTCAACCCCCACACCTCCCTCCTCATATGCCTCCTCTCTCCTCTTCCCCCACCCCTCGTTACAGTCACAATCAACACAGTCACGAGGGCACCAATCCAAAAAGCGCCATCAGCTAATCACAAGCCTATCAGCCCTCCGATCCACCAATCGCGTTCTCTCCCTCCTCTGCCAAACCTCCCCGCAACTCCTCCCCGCTCTCCCCCTCTCCCCCTCCCCTCTCCAGCCCTCTCCCCTCTCCCCCAACCTCTCGTCCGAACTCTCCTCCTCATGCTCTCTCCTCCTGGCTTTTATCGCTCGGGAGGGGTTGGCGAGGCCTGTGGGGGGGGCGAGCAGCATAGTGTGTCACATGGGTGGGAGGGAGGAGGCAGCAGCACATGCACGGTCGGCCTCAGTGGGATGCCATAAGGGCTGGTTTGCTGTCACGGCTAGAGCCACCGCCGCTGCTGCTGCTGCTGCGCGCCGAGAAACCTCTAATGCTGCTTCAGCCGCTGCTGCTGGTACTGCTGCTGGTGCTGCTGCTGGCGGTGGTGCAGGTATTGCTTCTGGTGCTGGTGGTGTTGGTGGTGCCAATGGCACTCCAGGGGGAACTGGAACTGGAGCCACAGCCACTGGAACCACAGGTGCCGCTCAATCCCTCGCTTTGGCAACACCAGCAGCAAGCACACCCGCTACAGCCGCTACAGCTGCCACAGTAGGCACTACTCCCTCTGCAGCAGCCCTCTTTCCCCCTTCCCCTACTCTCACAGGCAAGGGGGTGAGCCCTACGGGTCAACCCGAGGGAATCAAATCTGGAACGCTTAAGGTAGCTTCTACCTCCCCAGCTACACCCCAGTCCCCTCTTATAAGCACACCTGGTACAAGCACAGGCACGGCAGGAGGTTTGGGCCTCTGGGGTGCGAAGGGCCAGCAGGAGCAGGCTGGGTTCGGAGCAGGTTCGGCAGGTCAAACCAAGCCTGGAGGTTCGGCAGCGGGTGGGAAGGCCGGATGGGGGGCAGGAGACGGGAAGGGAGGAGGAGCGGCCGGCGTTCGTCGTCTGCATTCAGAGTACACGGATACTGTAGCAATTGAGGTTTACTCGCTTGCTCTACACTCCCTACACTTCCTCACGGCCCTCCTCCGCAGATATTTTCCCTCGGCCGCTGACATGGCAGGGGGGTGTGCTGACGTGGCAGGGATGCAGCAGTGGGCAGGGAGAGGGGTGGGCGGAGGGGAGGTAGGAGAGGGGGGATGGATGGGAGGGTTGAGGGGAGGAGGGGGAGGGGTGATGGCGGGGGTAATGGGAGGGGCGGCATCAGCAGTGGTGGTGATGGGGGAAGGTGCGCCAGTGCTGCCAGCACCAGAGGTGCTACACGGACTAGAGGTGAGCTCTCAGTGCTGCTGCTGCAATGCGGTTTTGTGTTGAGGTGCCTCAGAAGTTAACATCGATGCTGCTGCAGTGCAGTTTGTTGTTGTGTTGGGAGTTCTGAGTTAGGTCCTTTGGTGCTTAGCTTGGAAGGTGAGCCTGAATCTGCTTGTTGAGAATTCTCAAAAAACAGTGTCAGTGGTGCTGCTGGCACACCACTCAACCCTTCCGCCTCCACTTCCTCTCTTCCTTTCTGTCCTCTTCTGCTTTCTCCCTTCCACTCCTTCCCACCCACTCGTACCGACCAGGACCAAGCAGTGGCAATCATTCTCGACATTCTCGCCTCCGCAGACCAAACCAACCACCCCTCCTCCTCATCCACCACCCCAAGCCAACCCCCCACCAACCCACCCACCTTCAACCCCTCCTCTCCTCTCCGCCTCACCACCCTCTTTGGAAACCCCAGCCTCTCCTCCCCACCCGCCCGCTCCCCCCCCTCATTACCCTCCTCCTCCTCCCCCTCCTCCTCTATCTCGTCCTCCTCTCTGCCGCCCGCACGGCTGGCGGTGTGTCGGCTGCTTCTGGGGGTGCTGGTGAGGGCGCTGGCAGTGGAGGTGGCGTTGGTGCGGCTAGTGGGTCCCACCATGCTGCCCTCTGCTCTCAGGCTCGATGACTTTGACGCTGCTGTGCAACTTATAGTGCAAGGTGCGTGCAGAAAGGGAGGCATGAGGTGAGGCACTTGTCGCTTCTGGGGGTGCTGGTGAGGGCGCTAGCAGTGGAGGTGGCGTTGGTGCGACTAGTGGGTCCCACCATGCTTCCTTCGGCCCTTCGCCTTGATGATTTCGGCGCTGCCGTGCAACTCATAGTGCAAGGTGGGTGGAGGGGCGCGGGAGTGGCAGGAGTGGGTGGTGATAATATGGAACACAGTTGCTTATAGCACAGGGTGAGAACCAAGGTAACAGGAGGGGTAGAGTAGAAGCCTGCAGATTGTTTTGTATAACGATCTGCAGTAGGGTTTTGTAACACCGGAGCTCTTCACTAAGGCAGTGGTAACAGGAGGGGTAGAGTCGAAACCTGCCAATTTGCCGAACGCATCGCTTTTGCTGTCATAGAATGATGCCGTCGCATGCAAGTGGGTCAAATGCGCCTCTTTTTCTGACACCTCCACCCTCTGTTGACTTGATTCTCTCACCTCGCAGCGGCAGGCAGGGAGCCATTGATCCAGTCGGATGTGGAGGCAGTGGTGCCGCTCGTCAGTGCACTCACTCACCTGTCGTAGCATGCCTGCATGCCTATGTGGCAAAAGACGCACGCGTCCTGCTGCGTCCTGCGTCTGGACGCAGCGTCCAGACGCAGAGACGCAGGACGCACCCCGTTACTTTTTTCGGGCTGACCGGAAAAAAAAATTGCCCCAGCGCGAAATTGACTTTAACGATTTGGACGCGACTGTCAATTTCACGTCATGTCGACCCCCCCTAACCCATTTCGGCCATCAAAAACACCCTAGAGGGTTTACCAAGACAATTCTCCTTCGTAAACCCTAAACCCTGAAAATTTGAAGGGGACGATTTTGCCTCAAATGTGTGCATCGTCGTTCCCCCCCCCCTTCCCATACCCTATAACATCAGATTTCGGCTGCCCGGGGTTTTTTTTTGCCCTGCCCGGGCATGCGTCTTTTCATGCGTCCTAAAGGCCCTCCTCTAGCGTCCTGCGTCTAAGACGCTGCGTCTGGACGCAAGCGTCCTAGACGCAGGACGCGTCTTTTGCCACATAGCTGCATGCCTGCCCTCCATGTGAAATATACGACTGTCAGATTCATCTCTTCTCCTGACTCTTCCCCGTGCGTTGACTTGATTCTCTCACCTCACAGCGGCAGGAAGGGAACCGTCGATCCAGTCCGATGTGGAGGCGGTGGTGGCGCTCGTCAGCACTCTCACCCACCTGTCGTAGCATGCCAGCATGCCAGCATGCCTGCCCTCCATGTGAAGTTCTGTCGGTGAACAAGCCCTTTGGTCACATAACTTCCCTCAACCCAACTGTTGGCTCACCTTACACTTCCACAAAATAACAAAACAAGGCATGTCCCTTTACTCTTACCGGTAATCACATATATTAGCCTTGGTTTGTGTGCTGCTTTGAGGTGCAAGCAACCTGACCTGGTTCAAGCTGGCCCATCACTCAGTCTCAGAGAAGGCACCTTCTAGAGCAGGTTGGGGTCAGAGGGTTTCCATGCTGCTATGGTGGGGGATGGTTCACAGGATTCATCCTCTACACAACCAAAAACAAGACGTGCTCAGCAGGACTCGAACCTGCGCGGGCAGAGCCCAACAGATTTCTAGTCTGTCCCGTTAACCACTCCGGCATGAGCACATGTCACTCGTAGAAACCAAACTTCAACAGAATGTATACCTTACACAAGAAACCACCCAAGCCGTGTCCTCATTATGCTCCCACCGCCATGGATTGGCAGCGGCAGTTCCCGCTTCTCGTAGCCGTGCTGCTCGTCGCGCTCTCCCTCTCCGGTGACGTCATCCGTCCCTTCACCGCCTCGCCTGCCGCTTCGCAGGCGCAATCCGGCCCCGAGTCCGCCACTACCGCCGCACCTGTCTCCGCGTCTGGCGCCGGGTTAGCCGCGAACCCTGTTCCAGCATCCGCTACTGGCGGCGGCGCGATGTTCGCGTCGGCGTCGGCCACTCCTAGTCGCAACCATGCGCACAATCTCTTAATCTCCTTTTGCACCTCCTGATCCTACAGGTACTAGTAACCCTACTCTGGCGCTTTTCTAAGTCTTTCTCGCTTTCCCTCTCGCTAGTCCACCGTTTCTCTTGGCTCCTTTCGCTCTTCTTTCCATATTGCTCGTCACGTAGCTTTCTTACTACCCCTCTTCTTTCCCTATTTCTCGCCATGTACTATCGTATGACTCCGCCGAGCCCTATGAGATTGTCCTTTTTGTTCTGCCCGTCCTGCTCCTTCCCGTCTTCCCAGGGGGGCGGCGCAGCAGGTTCGGCAGATCCTTTCGGATCGGTATCCGGACCTGGAGGTCAGCCTCGGCAACCACCCGCCCCCCGCGTACTGTCAGGTGCTCTCGAAGCTGCTCTCCGCGGCGCAGATGGCGGCGATGGCCGTGATCTTCGCGGGAGACTCGCTGCTGCCCGCCGTCGGCCTCCCCCCGCCCTTCCCGCAGTGGTGAGTGCGTTGCTTGATCAGGAATTCTAAACGCTGAGCGCAGCTGGCGGTGCAGATGGCGGCGATCGCCGTGATCTTCGCGGGGGACTCGCTGCTGCCTGTCGTCGGCCTCCCGCCGCCCTTCCCCCACTGGTGAGTGAGTCAGTTTATCCCGCCAGTTGGGGGAGTTATTTTCAATCTCCCACCCTGTTGCTGGTTTCCCCAATCTTGAGCTCCGTTTGGGGAAAATGCGTTGTCGCTTCACGGTTGGTTTTCCGTTTGCTGAATGCGTTTGTGCAGGGCGGGTAGATATCCTTCCATCGTTTCGTCTCCATTGTTTTCTCCCTTCTCCCGCCCTCTCTTCCCCTCTCCCCCACCCACACCATCTCCCCTGATTTTCCCCCTGCCCACCCTCCCTCAACTGATTTTCGGCACTCTCCCTCCCATATTCCTCCTCTCATCCTGTCTCCACCCCTACACCTCTTCCCTTGTCGATTTTAACCTGTGGCTTTCCCCAACCCACAGGTACGAGCAGATCCGAACCAACCGGCTAGGCTCGGCAGCGACCGTGTGGATCGTGGGCAACGTGATTCACGGGTCGCTCGCCAGCACGGGGGCGTTTGAGCTCGTCCTGGACGGCCGCACGGTGAGCATTGGTGGCAATGGGTGGCTCTTGGTCTGGTTGGGCTGGGTTTGGTTGGGCTGGGTTTGGTTGGGCTGGGTTTGGTTGGGCTGGGTTTGGTTGGGCTGGGTTTGGTTGGGCTGGGTTCGGTTGGGTTGGGTTGGGTATGATTGGTGGTGGGCGTGGGTGGCAGTGTGACATGTCAAATTGGAGTCCCCCTATCACCACCACATCCCAATGTGATGCGCGGGTCGTTAGCCGGCACCGGAGCTTTCGAGCTTGTCCTGGACGACCGCACGGTGAGCATTGGTGGCAGTGGGGTGGCTTGATTTGTCATGGGATGGCTTGAATTGTCTTTACGCCTCCCTACACGTCTTCCCTCCTCCCATCTATTTCTCCTCCTCGTTCCCCAAATGCCTCCGCCACGTCTTCCCTCCTCCCATCTCTCCTCCTTATTTTCCAAATGCCTACGCTCACGTCTTCCCTCCTCCCATCTATTTTTGAGTCGACTGGAAAGTCAGCTCGTCTTCTCTCCTCCCATTTAATTGTTCTTCTTGTTCACATGGATGCCTCCTCCCCACGTCTTTCCTGCAATTTGATTGGTGCAGCTCTTCTCCAAGCTGGCAGAGGGCCGCATGCCACAGGTGAATGAAGTCATCTCATTGGTGGACGAGCACATGCGGGGTAACCACATGCAGCAGTAACCACATACTATGGTAACCAACAGTAACTTCACATAATGATATTCCAGCAGCAGCAGGGGAAAGAGGTAGTGGCAGCTAAAAAGGTGATACCAGTAGTAGCAATGCTTGGTTAGTGGGAAGCGCCGTGTTCCTAGTGATGGGTGAATGCAGGAGGCTTATGCGTGGTTTGTGGGGAGTCAGTGGCATCAGCACGGCAGAGCGTTTTATGACAGCATGGCCACAAACCAGTCCAATGGCTGGCTCATGCTCGATCCTCCTCTGCTGCGGCTGGTACACTCAATCCACGCTGCCACGCAACTGCCTCCTTGTTCTCTACTAGGCACGACTAGAAGGGTTTGTTGGATGAAAACATGTAGGAGGGTTGTAAGATTGATTGTTATGTGTATGATTTATATGCAATGTTTTTCCTGGATTCCTGTTTTCTATCATTTTTGTCGATTCAAACAAAAAGCAGGATTCCGTCAATTCTCCGTCCACTCTTCCCACCGTTAGTGGAACTTTGCCTTGTGCCTTGTGCATTGATTGCCTTGTGCCGCCCGTTTGTTTTACTGGTCGGTCGCGTCTCGTCCATGGCTGCCCGCATCACAGAATGTACAGTCGTGGAAGGTTCTGCAATCGGGGTGACACACACACCGTATCAGAACAGCGCACACCCCAGGGAACCGAGCGTAAACGTATTCAAAACGCTTCGGGCCGATCTACATGTATCGATGCCTTGGGAACTGACGGTCCAGCCAGCCTATTATTTCTAGGAGGCAGGAAATGTGTGAATTTGAGAATTTGAGCTAGCAAGATAGCAACCCTGTTCATTTCCCATTTTCCATATCACTCCGTAAGTCCCGCCATGCTTCCCACGTCAACGCTTATCCTCTCCTCTCCCAACGCCGCCGCTGCTCTGCTGACAGCGCGCTCTGCTTGTACCGAGACTCTCAAGCAGCGTCGCCAGACCGTTCCGTCTCGTTCCATTTCTAGCGGCTGTGTTTCTCACCAGCTCAAATCCACCTTTTCCGGGTTTCGTCTTCCTCTCGCTCGATCCGCAATCAATAATTCCGTTTCAGGAAATCCTCTCCGATGAAACCGCAACCTTTCTACCTTCCGTGTTGTCGCATCGTCCAATCATCAAGCTATGGCCGGTGCAAGTGGAACTGATACCGCTGGTTCCGGTGGTTCTTCCCCCGGGCTCGTCGTGTGCTTCGGCGAAATGCTCATCGATTTCGTCCCAACCGTCAACGGCGTATCTCTCGCCGAAGCGCCTGCGTTCATGAAAGCTCCGGGCGGTGCGCCTGCCAACGTGGCGGTCGGCATTGCGCGGCTCGGTGGACGCGCGGCGTTCATGGGGAAGGTTGGGGAGGACGAATTTGGACACATGCTGGGCGGGATTCTTAAAACTAACGGCGTTGATACGTCAGCGCTCAGATTCGACGCGGGAGCGCGCACAGCCCTCGCTTTTGTCACACTCAGATCTGACGGCGAGAGGGAATTCATGTTCTACAGGAACCCTAGCGCGGACATGCTGCTACAGCCGGAGGAGCTTGATCTTCCCCTCGCTACAAGCGCATCTGTGCTACACTACGGATCCATCAGTTTAATCACAGATCCGTGCAAATCCGCGCATCTGGCTTTGCTAGATGCTGTGGAAAGCAGCAGCAACACTGTTCTCTCATACGACCCTAATCTCCGAATTCCCCTCTGGCCGTCCGAAGAAGCGGCGCGAGAAGGCATCTTGAGCATTTGGGACCGCGCTCACATCATCAAAGTGAGCGACGAGGAGGTGGCGTTCCTGACCAATGGCGGCGACCCTTACAGCGTTGACGTGGCACGGTCTCTGTTCAATCTCAGCCACAAAAACAGCAGCGGTGGCGATGGTAAAGGGAACGGGAAGCTTCGGCTCTTGCTGGTAACTGAGGGGGAGAAGGGATGCAGGTACTACACAGAGGGGTACCAGGGGAGAGTGGATGGATTTAGTGTTGCTGCTATTGACACCACTGGTGCTGGCGACGCTTTTGTTGCTGGTTTTCTCCGCAAGCTAGCAGGAGGAGGCAGCAGCAGTAGCAGTGGATTTGCTGCCTTGGATTCGCTGCTTGCAGATGAGGCTAAGCTAAAGGAAGCGCTCCTGTTTGCCAATGCGTGTGGAGCCATCACCACCACTCTTAGAGGCGCCATTCCTGCTCTCCCTGATGAAACTAGGGTAGCTCAGATGCTGGGTTGAAGCTAGCTGGGTGCAATTTGGCGCACAGACATTACTGAATTGTCTCTTCCTCAACGCAAGGTAGTGTGTGTACAATTCACGTTTCAACCAGTACCTTCTCTTCTTGAATATAGAAGGATGTGGGAACAATTTTGGCAGCTGAAAAGCTTGCAGCACAAAACACCAACTCATAACCAAGGTGAGCAGCAGCATTCCTTATGGTGTACTACATCCTTGGGAAAACATGTACACAAAATGGTCACAACCAACACATTTACACCAAACCAAAAGGAGGCAACTTAATGAAAGCTGGGTGGAAAAACCCTCCTGTGGAGGGAAATCGCTCCACACTATTGCCGTAGTAGGATGTAGGTTGGACAAAACTGGATGTACGTGTGTGCTTCACGAGGTTACCCGCCCGTAAACAATATCTTCAAGAGAAACGATCTTATTGCGGGTACTGGTGCTCCGCTGCACCCGTAGACGACCAGAAGCACCTGCGGCCAGCACATCTGCCGCTGTTTGCTGCTCCCGCGGGGGTTGCTGCTGCGCGGAACACCGGGGGGGCAGCGGCGCGCGCTGGTACCGCCTACTCGCGGAGGACGTTGTCGCGTTGTGTTGCTTGATAAAGTCAAGCGCCGCGTCTTCCGCTGACACGTGGCGCGAACGCATTTGCGGCGGCGAATCCAAATCTAGGGATGATCGCGAGGGAGAAGCCTCGTGCCCGCTGGGTTCGTAACTAGGCGCGGCTCCGTACGCGTCGGCCCATCCGGGAGCGGAAGCGGCGGACCAGGACGCGGTGCGGCACATAAAAGGGCCCGCCTGAGCCATACCCGACGCGGGGGAGGCGTTTCCGCCGTATGCGGCGGCGGCTCGCGCGGCGACGGCGGAAATGTCGAGCAGCTCCGGCGCGTCATACGGCATTTGACGCGCGCGGAAGCTCCGCGAGTGGTGCGCGGCGGCGGAATCCGCGGGGTCGGAGCCCATGGCGGCGGGAGACGTGAGTCCGCGCGTCAGGCGCCGAGAGCCGGAGCTCGTGTCGCTGCTGCACATGCCGAAGACGCCACTGCTGCTGTTACTGCTGTTGCCGCTGTTGCTGGTACCGCAACTGCTGAGGCTGGTGTTTCGGGAGTGGGAATAATACTGGCCGGGTTGTGCGCCTGAGGGGAAATAACCGCCCGCGGTCTCCGTAAAATCCGGAAACTGCCCCGCCTCGCCGCCAGCGCCGGCGCTCTTCGGCCGATAGAAAGGCCCTGCGCCAGAGCCCTTCATACTTTTAACGGGTTCCATTGTAACGGGGTCGAAGCCGCAATACCCAGGGTCAACCTTGTAAGACATTATTGGTTCGACGAGGAAGTACGTGGTGCCGGCCCGGAGCGCGGCGTGCGGGGAAAGGCAGGGGGAGCGTCCCGGCGAGGAGGAGGGGGAGTCGAGGCGGCAGACGCGGCAATTGGGGAACTCCGCGAGAACGTCGGAGACGAGGAGAGGCGGGTCGCCGGGGCGCGCGGCGGAGAACATTCGCACGCCGCCGTCTGGTAGAAGCATGAGAATGGTGTCGTCTTCGCACGAAGCGGCGGCCATTGCGGAAATTGTGACTGCGGAAAACAGCACGATCTGCTTGCGTTGGTCGGTTCGCGGTCTTAGATCGCAAACTGCGATGATGGTCGGTTCTTCGCGCTGCGTGCGATGAAGCGCCTAGAATTTCGTACTCCGTGTGTGAGTGCGGGTTAGGAACGAAGGTAAGGAGGACACAGCTGATTGAGAGCGATGGGCTGTGAAATTTTGGAAAGGAGTGAAGTGACAATAGGCCAGCTCTGCAGGGAACTGAGAAGTTGAGACAAGGTGGAGTGAGATAGGGGTCTTATCTTATCCAAGCAAGGTAAGTGAAGTTGACAGCAGAGTGTGAGCTTGTGGAAGCGAAGGGGGTGGCCCACGCGCAGTCGAGACCTGCGCGGCTGTCCTTGATCGTGTTTGGCGGTATAATGTAGCGCACCCCGCGCACCCATGATGGGCAGAGCGGAGCAGCTGCGACGAGACCAGACGAGACCAGCAGCATTCATGTTGTGATGTGCGGAGGGGATGGCATCATCACAGCATGGGATAGTGGGATGTAATGGGATGGGATGGAATGGGATTGATATGGGATGGGATGGGATGGGATGGGATGAGATGGGATGGGATGGGATGGGGCGGGATGGGATGGGATGGGATGAGATGGGATGTGATGGGATGGGCGAGTGGGATGGGATGAGATGGGATGGATGGATCGTCCTTGCCTTGGTGCCCAAGAAACCTGTTGATTGATCGTCCAGCGCCCCCCCACATTGTGGCCAACCTTTCCTGTCCTGTCGTCTCTTGTGAGCAACTCTTTCCGGCAGATACGGTGGCTCATTTTGTCCCTTAGAAAACTTTGGTGCTGATGTGAGTGGGTGAAAGTGGGTGGGAAGGGGGACGAGGTGGAAAGCTTTTTGAAGGCCTTTTTATCCAGAAAGCCTGTGGTATCCGTGGACAACACGTTTCGGGCGACTGTACATTCTGCCCAAGGCAGCTAGGATAAACAGTTTTTGGAGGAAAGGTTGCTGGTTGCTTGGACCATCGAATCAAATATAGAGAAATCATGCAGCAATCACGAAGTGGGTGGAGGAAACGAACAACACAGCTGCGTGGACAACTTTGGAAACGGCGCAGCAATCGAATGCTTTGAGCTGCTTGCCACGTCACTGCACAGCTTAAAACTACAAATATTATACCGAATGCCGTGAGGTGACGTGTTCATGTCCTTTCTTGAGCTGGAAATTCCACGGAAAATGAA